CATATAAATTATAAAATTAATGATAGATGGTTAAATTGGAGGAGTGCCTCAGGAGTATTATGCAATAGTAAATGAGATAATATAATGGATGTTCAAATGTAAATTTATAAAGTTGCCATTTGTTTGGCCATTTATTGATTTGATCATTGGATTTTGACGAAGTCATTGATTGTTAGGTTGAGTTTGGGTGAAATGAAAATATTAGAATGAGTATGCAAAATGAGGTGTAAGTTTATGTTCATAGCTTTTCATATTGGATGTGGAGGCACTTAAAAAGGATATGCAAAATGAAATGCATTTTTATTTTTTTTTACAGTTTATGTAGTTCTAATAGATGTGATATTTATCAAAAGTACAAAAAAATTAGAATAATGAATAATATGCTAGAAGATAATGAACTCAGTATCAGTAGAACTTAAATGATTGAGTATATGATATGTAATTCTAGTGGGTTGATATTAATTGTTATCAATCAATGAGATTATAAGAGAAGGTGGTATCTAGTTAACATGTGTTTGTTTCATGAATTAATTATATAAAAAGTATGGGCATATAAATTATAAAATTAATGATAGATGGTTAAAATGGAGGAGTGCCTCAAGAGTATTATGAAATAGTAAATGAGAGAAGTTAATGGATTCTCAAATTTAAATTTATAAAATTGCCATTTGTTTGGCCATTTATTGATTTGATCATTGGATTTTGACGAAGTCATTGATTGTTAGGTTGAGTTTGGGTGAAATGAAAATATTAGAATGAGTATGCAAAATGAGGTGTAAGTTTATGTTCATAGCTTTTCATATTGGATGTGGAGGCACTTAAAAAGGATATGCAAAATGAAATGTATTTTTTTTTTTTACAGTTTATGTAGTTTTAATAGATGTGATATCTATCAAAAGTACTAAAAAAATTAGAATAATGAATAATATGCTAGAAGATAATGAACTCAGTATCAGTAGAACTTAAATGATTGAGTATATGATATGTAATTCTAGTGGGTTGATATTAATTGTTATCAATCAATGAGATTACAAGAGAAAGTGGTTTCTAGTTAACATGTGTTTGTTTCATGAATTAATTATATAAAAAGTATGGGCATATAAATTATAAAATTAATGATAGATGGTTAAAATGGAGGAGTACCTCAAGGGTATTATGCAATAGTAAATGAGAGAATTTAATGGATGCTCAAATGTAAATTTATAAAATTGCCATTTGTTTGGCCATTTGTTGATGTGATCATTGGATTTTGACGAAGTTATTGATTGCTAAGTTGAGTTTGGGTGAAATGAAAATATCGAAATGAGTATATGGCAAAATTAGGAAGGATGAATTAGGGAATGATTTATAATTGGCACTGCTTGAGTAACATTAATTGAAAGTAGCATAGTTGAAAATAGCTGTAAATGATTTGAGCATGTACAACATGTAATAGAGGCACCGAAGTATGGATTGAATGTGCAAATAGTTTTAATACTTCATGCTATACTCTACATGGATGAATGTAGGATGGAATTCATAAAGTTAGCGTTAAAAAATTTAGATAAAATTGATGATGGTGATGCTTCCTTGCTCCTTTAAAATTCAAATATTAATTAAAAATGAATAAATGTTTAAATAAGAAATTTTCTTAGCATAAGCTTATGCTATATTTTTGCTAAACTAATGCATCTTAGTTCTATGTGCATTAGTGTAAATTGTTGAGATCTGAGAGTACAGATGATTGTTTTGCTACTAGGTTATTTGATCTGACGGAACCCAATGGGGTGTTTTGATTATTTGATCTAAGAGTAGTTATTAGAGTTTGATATTTAAAATATTATATATTCGGGTAATCTAATTGGTTTCAACATAAACCTCTTCAATATCTACTATTTGAAAACAATTTAGTATTTCTTGAATATATATACTTAATTTTTCTATTTACGCATGTTACATGTAAAATTTATAGAATATAGAATAAAATATGACATGTAAATGCAAAACTTAGGAGGCATTGAACATAAAATATTTAAAACCTTAAATCAATGCTGGATGTCAAAATATTTATTTTATTGTGCTTTACTACAAATTGTTGGTATAATTTTTAAATTTCTTACATTGTTAATAAAGATTTTTAGTCCAAAACATTGCAAAAATGATTTCTGCTCCAAAAATTTGTACATTTCTTATTAGTAGTTATCACAAACTTGTATAAATTTAGTACAAATGATGGAATGAATTATAGAATAAATTTTCTTCAATTCTTACCCTTATTAGTAGTTATCACAAACTTGTATAAATTTAGCACAAATGATGGAATGAATTATAGAATAAATTATTATAGTTTATAGGTTGATGCAAGTCTTAAACATAATTGCTTTTGGAATGGAAGGAGCTGCAGTCCACCATATGCAGATAACAAAACAACATTCTGATTGCCTCATCTTTATGATTTGTCGGCTGTTATATTTGCTTTCATCGCAACAATTCTATGAATATTTTTAGAAATAGCTGCCGCACTCCTAACAAACCTTATTTGAGACTTTGGTAGTGCATTTTATGTATAATTATTTTCCTATGGTTCTGATAAGATACAAGACAATTTTTCCACACGCAATATAGGGCAAGCAAATTTCTTTCTTTAATAAAGCAAACAAACGACATATAAAGGAGAAAGACATACAATTCTAATGGTAGATAATCTCTCCCAAATCCTACAATTTGAGAGGCAGGAAATCTCTCCAAACCCCTAACCCTAAAATACAAGGCTCAATATCATCTATAACCCCAACCCTAAATATATTAGTCATATTTAACATTAGCAGAAGCAACAACAACAGCAACAAACAACAACAACAACAAACAACAACAACAACAACAATACAACAATAATAATAATAGTAGTAATAATAATAAAAGACTAAGTCGTCCTTATACTAATAAAAGATAAAATTACCCTTAGGTTTCGGCTTAACTATACTTCCCTCCCGAAGAAACACCTAGTTCTCAAGTTAGATAAAAGAAAATTGCTTGTCAAGCTCTCCTGGCTCCTCATCACACACTGTGAGAACTTGTAACGTCTGATACTAGCAACGGTGTCATTGAGTAAACTTTTCATCACATCGAAAACATAACCCCTTTGCTTGTTTCTTCTCAAACTGCCTTTATAAGATGTTTGAATCTCGCCCTTGGTCGTGACTCATTATTCATGTGTCGGGAAGCCTTCATTGGGTATCATTGTGGATGTAGCAGTTCAATATGACACCCCCAACGCTTCTTTTATTAGCCTGTTTTATTTAATATTTATCTTTAACCAACTACGCCAGTTCAGTAATTTTTCTCAAGTCTCGCGGTCTCAACGAATGAAGTGCTGCTTGTATGTCGAGCTTTAGACCTTTCATGAAATTTCTCTCCAATATTGCTCAGAAATCCCCCTCAGTCGTCCTAAAAATAGCTCGAATCTTTCCTTATATTCTATGATAGTCTCCTTATGTATCAAGATAAAGATTTGCGTGAGCAAGTCTCCTTCTTGAATGACTTAAATATTTCAACAAGCAATCTTTAAATTTCTTCCATGAGCGGATCAGGTATCTACCCTCCCTCCACTTGAATCATGGCAGGGTTTCCCCTCCAAACCTAACTCTGTCGTCATGACTTTCTCCTCCTCATTTAGTACATTCATCTCGAAATATCGCTTTACTCTATACACCCACCAATATACATCTTTCTCACACAAAGATTGACACATTCAACTTCATAATTCTAACATCTCCACCCTAACTTCGTCTCCCTCTAGTGTTTCCCCCCATGTATCTAGGGTAAAACTTTCTCATTCAATCATAGTCACGCCCCATACTGGCTTTACTCCTTTCTTCTTCGTCTAATCCACCCCCATTAGAACCCTACGACGAGGTTCTTAATGGTGGATGCTTTTTTTTATGTTCCTCTTGTTTGATTTTTTCCCTTTCGATTTATTCAAGGATTTTTTAGTCAACCTTTGGTTAGGGTTTATAAATTAAACTGTATGTGACGTCTTGTATTGTATCTCAATAAGCTTCTTCATTGTATCCTCTAAGTTTCGAATTGATTCTATAATTGATTTTTCAAGGAGAAACATCTTTCTTTGTTGAGAACCTTTCCTCCATCCTAAGTTTAAACTGTTTTATTTCTTCTAATCTCTTTTTCAATGCATCCATTTTCCTTCCCACTATTTCTCTCAGTGTGTTTTTGAATGAAGAACTCCTGTACTGTGGAATCTTATCAATCGTTTTGGCTTCCCTGGTTGTCAGAATTGTGTCTGTACCAATTTGTCTGTACCGCAAGTTCTACCTCTTACCGTTGTTGTATCACTCGATAGTGTATGATTGGACTAAATGGGAAGAGTCGAAGATGGAGGAAAGTGGAGAAGTTTTGCTCTGTTCGAAGAAAGGTTATAGGTGATTCTGTCATCGGCTTCACAGATAGCTCTTACAACAACTATATCGCTACTTCCCAACAAGCTCTTATTGTGATTGTATTGATATGAGATCCTTCGTTGGCATTTAATAAGCTCTTATCGCAATTGTATCAGGGCGCAATACAAGGTATGATGACTGCGATAGTGATGGAGGCGCCTGTATGCCGTGTTTCTTTTTGTGGTTTGGTCGAGCATGCGTCATTACATAGAAGCTTGTACGCCGCAATCCCTTATGCACATAGCTATCCTTATTTGTTTCCAAGATGGAATGCTCTGATTCTAATTGATAGGATCCGAGAATTTTTTCCACATAAATTAGGGAAAAACAAATTTCTTCTTCAATAAAACAACCAACACAACATATAAATATAAACACTTGAGGTAGGAGATTTCTCCCAAATCCTAAAATTTGAGAGATAGGAAATTGATAGGAACCAAGATGATTTCCATAAAAATTAGGGCACAATAATATTTTGTTGCAAAAACACCAAATCAAAGTAATATAACACTAAAAACTCACACGAATACGTAAAAGATAAGTACCTACAATTCGAGAGGTTGGCGATCTCTTCCAAATCCTACACTTTGAGATGTAGGAAACTCTCTGAAACTCTAATCCTATGACTCGAGACCCAATTTCATGTGTAACCCTAACCCTAAACATTTTAAGCCCTATTTATAGTAAGTAATAATAAATTACTAATGACTGAATTGTTCGTAGGCTATTAAAGATTAAACTTCCTTTTATGTGCCATCATAACACTACTCTTCTCCCAAATAAACACCTTGTCCTCAAGGTGAAAAATTGTTGTTGGATCAAGTTGTATGACTCCCACACGACGTCATCATCTGACAATTCTTTCCATTTAATGAGAAACTTATAGTGATCATCATTCTCTCGAAATGTTTTGTGCATATTCTTTGGTTGCATCCGAATCGGATGATACCCTGACTTCAAGTCAATCCTAGAGAACAATGTTGTCCCAAACAACTTATACAATAGCTTATTGATCTTCAGAATTTCTGCCAACTCTGTATCACATGTATCCTCCATGATTTGCAACTCGATCAAGATTCTCAGTCCTGCATCCTGAATCGTTGTTATATAGCCTTCAGTGTCATCAACATCTTGCACAAATTGGGATCGCTGTAAAATACCACCATCTTGTCTCCCTCTTGAACAATCTGCAGTGTCCCAATCAGTCCCATACAAACACTCCTGCTCTTCTTCACCTGTCTCGTTCCCATCATTACTTTTGAACCTTCTTTCGCTTAGAATGCTTTCGCAAGAAAGACACTGGCACAATTAGATGCATCCTTCCGTCAGGGTCTCACCTACTGTGGTTCCTAGTTACATATTGAAATTCTTCGAAGTGATCTCCTCCAGCCTCGAATCGCATCCCATTCTAATATGTTTGTTGCTTTACGTCTCAAACCTCACGATATTGTGCAATTTTTTCCAGATGTTCTCGTTCGAATTTGTTTCTGATTCCTTTGTTTGATACCGTGGCTCTCAATTCGCAGACCTTGGCGATGCTACCCTGATGCTATGTGAATCCTTCTGGTTGTTGCTGCCCGCATCCGTTTCTGACGCCATCGCTCGATTCGTAGTGGGCAGAGGCGATTTTGTGTGACTCTCAATGATCTTTTTCTTCATTTCTTTTATAGCTATGAATCTCCTTCCAACCGCCCCTCTACGGACTAGAAACACTCATCTATTTTATATATGATGTTTCTCATCTCCTTTTTTAATTTTTTGCTTTAAAGCCTCTATTTTTTTACCGCCATTATGGCAGAATGATTTCAATCATGAAGGAGAAACTATTGTATTCCAAAATCTTATCAATGGCTTCCCACGAAGTCCGGGTCGTGTCTGTACCACGAGATCGTAAATCATGATCTACCCTTGGCTTCCCAGATTGTCTGAATCAATACTATATTGTGACTAGGGTATCGTGACTAGGGCACGCCGAATCTCGAGCTTGCTTCTCTGTTCTAGCCCTGATGCTCTAATTGCCTTCCTCAGCTAGCTCTAATCGCGATAATGTTGCAGGGATGGAACGGAAACAGGAGAAAGATGGGAGTTTTGGATCTTTGCACGTCGCAATCTTTAAAAATACGTGAGCGTCATGATTCCGGAGTTCCCAGCTAGCTCGAGTCGCACCTTAAGGAAGCACGCCGTGTTGTTTCCGATCACGAAGGTGGCTCGTATATGTCGATCCAGTCGCGATCCTGTTGATGCTTCCCAACTATCGTGACTGTCACGTGGGATTTGTTATCTCGTCGATGCTTCCCAGCTATCGTGACTGTCATGCAGGATTCAATATCACGTAGATGTTTCCCAGCTATCCCAATTGTATGGCGATATATTGGTCACGTCCGTATGCACCAATCCAGTCGGCGGCTTCTGGTTAGGTTAATTTGACTGAATCTTAAGATACCATGTGAATGGTGAAAGAAAACAGGCAGTGCACTGTGGATCGTTCAGCTTTGATCCATTTGATAGTAATTGAATTGATATTTCACAAAAATTAGAGCAATTATATTTTATTTAATGAAAATTGAAGAACTCAACACAAAAATATGAGATAAACACCTACAATTCGAAAAGTAGGAAATCTCTCCCAACCCCTAGTTCGAAGACTCAACAATAATTTCTTGCATAACCCTAACCCTAAATATATCAGCCATATTCATGCTAGACAATAATAAATGACGAATCACTAAATTGGCTTTATGCTAATAAAAACTAAACTGCTGCCTTCATAACTAGGGCTGTCAAAAAAGCTCGTCGTTTGCGAATACCTCGTGTTCGACTCATTAAATAGCTCATATTTGATTCATTCGTTAGGCAAGGAAGCGGAATACAAATAGTTTTTTAAGCTTGATTTATAATCGAGCCGAACACGAGCAAAGGTTTATTTGTTTGTGTTCGATTCATTTCGGCTCAAAATAAATAAAAAAAATAATTAATAATATTTATTTATATATTTTTTATATTATTTTTATATGTATTAAAAAATGCTAAATTTTATTATTTTAAAAATTATTTGGGTGGTATGGTTATAAAAAATAAAAGGTTAGGTGTTCAGATATGCAAATAAATAGGATTTGGGTGGTACGTATGTATGTGTCTCTAAAATAGAGTCGTTCTTGATTTAGGAATTTTATATGTAAATAGAGAAGTGTTGGGTTGTATGTACGTAAATGTTTTCAGATTTTTCCCCAAAAATCGCAGGTAGTTCCCGTCCCTTCATTTTTTCTGCTGTGATATTATATTTAAAATACATAAGAATTGGGTGGTATGTATATAAGTGCCCCCACAATTTCGTCTGCTGCCCGATAACCCAGAATTCCATCCCATCCTTTATATTTTGTCCGACATCGCCTATGTAGGAAGGAATTCCGATTGGATATCATATATAAATGTAAGAATGAAATAGAAATTTGAGTTATTTTGCTGCTGGATAGGTAGCAGAAATAATTCAGAATTCTCGTTAGTTTGAAAATATTTTAAAATCAAATTTGGAGTCAAATGAGCTGAAATAAATAAAATATGCAAATCTATTTATGTTGGCTCGTTTTCAGCGTTAGTCATAACAAAAATCTCTCCAAAATCCTAGCCCTAAGATACGAGACTCAATCTCATATATAACCCCAACCTTAAACATATTTAGTCATATTTATACTAACAATAATAACAATAATAAAAGACTGTCCTTAAAACTGATGAAACACAAAATTGCCTTTAGGCGCCGGCGCATCAGGATCACCATTCAATAAAAAGTAAAAATGTTCAAATCACCATGAGCTGAATAAGCATTGTTCTAGCATACTTCAAATGGTTGGCTTGTAAATTTTAATCTCGTACGTTTGACAGAAAATTTCGGTAATTAAAACTAATAGATTAACGTTGATATCATTCCATCACCTTCAGTGCTCTAATCAAGGTTGTTCTCTACAAACTCTTTTAGTAGTTGCTTGCTATAGCCAAATATGCTATTAATCAGTAAACTTATTTATACTTGGATTTCTTTTTCTTAAAATACTGAGTTCTGCTATTGGCTTGGCATAGATACGTCACCTTAGGTGTACAATTGGGAAATTTGCAGAACTGTGACAATCTGATGACAAAAAACTTTTTAATTCCACTTTCAGAAAATAATTATGCTATTATTCTGTATTTTATTTTTTATTTTTTGGAATATTGAGAGCGGTTGTACAAATCTGTATCCAGAAAAGCAAGTAATGACACATTCAACTAGAAGGATGAGGTAGCCAAATAAATACATTTCTTAAAGCACAGCTAAACACAAAAAACAAAAACTATATCTATTATGCCTTTTATGTAGAACATGAGGCACAATATGGCTAACCTTGCGCTTCAAATATTAAATATTACTCTTTAATTAACATATTTAACTCACCCTGTACGTCAAAATAATAGATTATCAAATCAAACAGAGATAAGAGTTATCTTTGGCATTAACCTGTCTATTTTTTTTTAACATTATTTGAATTTCAGTAGGTTTTGTTGTGGCCGAAACCTTTAAAAGCTACATGATTTAAAGTCTCCTATGTCATTTTACATTATATTTAGTTGGACTTTCATATTATGCTTCTCTTTCACTGATTTACCAATGCCTAAATCATATATCTCAGCTAAGAATCTGTGCTTATGTCTGAGATACTAAATTTGTTTATATTACAATGTTCATGACATTCATCATAATTTTATTATTTGTTTTTGTTTTTTTTTTGTTTTTTTTTTTGTTTTTTGTTTTGGTTAGAAACCAGTCATTGGGTTCGAAACAGAAATCTTAAAGCTTTATGTACAGATTACGAAAGAGGGTATCTTAATATCGTTTCAACTGCTGTGTTAGTTCCAGTTTGTAAACCACTAGTGGGAGTTTCCTTTCACTACCTTGTACAGATACAAGCGTGTGCTTATTTTATGTATGCTTGCTTCAGAAGTTTCATTTATTATTATTATTATTAAATTTTTATCCTGTAGTTTACTTTTTATTTGCAATTTTTGGGTTTTTGTTTTGGGTATTTGTTTTGAAAGATGTATTGATATGTCAGATATCATTTTGATTGATCGGTAATTGGTAGTTTCTTGACTGAAGTAGATTTGAGGGCAATTCATGCTCACTGCAGCTCGTAAGAATTTAGTGGATGCTACTTTTGAGTTAATAAGTTGAGTCGAGCCAATTATTATTTGGAAAATTTACAAATAATCATTTAATTCTAATGCATTTACTTATTTAAAACCTAAATTTGTTACATACATGGCACTTTATCTATACATGAAAAAGTGTGTTTCGCTCTTTAAAAGTTCAAATTGTGGTGTTTTTGATGTGATATGAAGGATATGGGTGATATATAAATGTAAAAAAGTAAAGTTTAGGTGTTAATATGTAAATACGTAGGATTTGATTTGTAAATGCATTTATTATTTTGTTCAAGGTCACTTATTTATTTTTTATGGAATTTAAGCTGAATTTGAAAGCATTGTACGTTAAAAGGATGTTTGCACTGATGTGAACGGTTCAGAAGTAAAGAGTACAACAAAGGTAGATATATTGTAAGGAGATTATGAGGCCGACCGAATGAGCCAAGCCAACTAAGCAAAAATTAGTTGGGCCGAAAGGAGGAAAAGAAGACGATGAGGTGATCCATGTGTAAGCAATTTGAATAAAAACGAGATGAGTGCATCCCAGCCATCAGCTACAGGAAAGTTGACTCAATGTGATATCATATCATGTAATGGAGCTAACCAAAAGAAAGAACCAGTTCCAAAAAGTATCTCCGACTATTCTGCGAAATCCTGAAGACTTCTCACTAGGGATCGAAGATAATCAACCAGGCTAGATAAGTCGGTTGAATCCTATCGACCAAGCTTAACCGACTGAGGTGGCCCTGTCGATTCAAGTTAACAAAGCTTAGCCGGTCAAGCCAGAAGGCACACAGACAATTTGTCCATGCTTTTAAAATACCAAAAATACTCTAGTCCAGACCCTCTTCAAATGTAGGTAAGAATATAATATCACTATTGCACTACCTTCTTTATAAATAGAGGAAGTATTTTATGAAGAGTCAATAGTTTTTAATACTATTCACTATTGTTCATACATCTCTCTCTCCTCATTTACGCTCTATTCTTTGGGTGTGATTCATGGGCAATCTTGAATTCGACATCCTGAAAAGTATGTTGAGCTTGGATTATACCACCAAAGAGAATGGAACAATGCATATAGAAGGACCTCATAATAGGGAGACCAATGACAATATGGAGTGTAACAGGGAATTTGAGATCATGTAGATCCAAGATATGAAGAATCAAATGTTATAAATTATTGGAGGTGTGCTGAATCAGGAGCAGGATCAGCAACCCAATAGGGTGTTCTGACAGCAGACAACAGAAGAGCCCCTTCCCCATAGGATGAAACCCAATATCTTGATAGCATTGGGGCAACATCATTTGCTAGGCATCAAGCTGGACATATTGAAGCACTATGCCAGCCAAAAAACACTTTCTGACACTTGAATCTTACAAGGTATGGATGAACCCGACTAATCAATTCGCTTCTTTAGAGTCAAGCGTGTGTCTTCTCAAGATTAATGTCACATTAAAGTGTCAAAATCTTCACTATAGTAAGAGACTTAACCCTCAGGTGGTTCAACGGGTTACTACCTCAAGTAACCACGTCGTTCGTAGACTTTAAGCTAATGTTCGTTGCACAATTCCCTAGTGCCCAAAAACCTTAGAAGAGCTTGCATGCTCTACAATTTTGCTAGGGATAGAGGGAGATCATGCGTGCCTTAGTCACTCATTTCCATAAGGAAATATTAGATGTTCAAGATTTAGAACTCATGGTCGCTTATGCAACACTCGCTCAAGAATTGAATGAAGGACCTTGTTTCTTACTCATTGAGATTGTAGCGACTGAAGACTCTAGGGAAGCTATCCAACAACCACATATAATCATAAGGGTACAACTCTCCTTGTTTCATTTAGAACCGAACAAATCAATCTCTATCCACCAAAGAGAATCGCCCATGAAAATCAGTGGAAGCCGAGACAGAATCCTCACCCTTCTACCTAAGCTTGCTTCGAAGATTCACGATGACACTCAGATAACTGGGCGT